ACGGGCGTTCAAATGTTGCCCGCCTAAAGGCGGTTGTATGCACCAGAGGGTTAATTGTAGCTATATTGATTGCAATCATCAGATAATGATACACTTGCCTAAATGGCAAACACAGATTCTGGGATCCGTGACAAGAATCATTTGTCAATTGGGAATCTTGCGCATAAATGTAGATTGCGACTTCGAATATCATTGCTGTTGTTTTTGTTGTTGTTGTTCACAATATATTCATTACTTCACAGCCAACTCATCAATTTTATTTGAATGAGGCCAGATATGGTCGCAATCGAAATTAAAAAGCGAACAATAATAGTAAAAAAGAAAGGAACAATATTTTGCATATCGATTGGATGATGTCGATTACTCTTTTCATCGATTAAAATGTTGTTGTTTCTTCTTTGACCAGAAGACAGTTCAACAATTGGTTAGGTGAATATGCGCATGATTTATTTATTTTGATAATTTCAAATAATGTATACCAAGTTCGAACCAGTCGATTGATTGGTTACACAGTTACATTTCATAAATCGACTATGATGGAAATAACGATGATGATGATTCTTCTTCTCTAGCTGATTGATTTTCGGTAATTTGCGTAATTGATGTTTAGTATTTGTTTCTGGATTTTAAAACGCTATGGGTCAAAGTGGATAGTTGAATGAGAAAAGAAAGAGAGAAAAAACAACGATGATGTGGATACGTTTGCGACTCTCACAGACAATTTTACGCTTATTTTATTTGTGTATTCAATTTTCTGATTCAATTTGATGTTTTGCGCTCTTTTTGTTCGTGTGTAATGCTTCGCTTCCAAAGAATATTTAATACTTTTCGCCTTTTGTGCAACAAATCTATCTTTTGTTATTTTATAATTAGATATTTATGATCCATTCCATTCATCTTTACCGAATTCCAAAGTTCCAATTCTTCGTATCTTTTATTCGTTTCTTCATTGCGTCGATTTAAACGTTACGTCGCCGAATCAGCCGCTCGTTTTGTGTTAGTCTCTCACTCGTCTGTCTCTCAATTCGTGTTAATTCCTTACTTCATCAAATCATAATCAAAGCGCTGCTAATCGTGCGGTGTCGATTTTACTGTAGTTCATTCGTATTTAGGAATTTATTAGTGATAATCAAGATGATGAGCAAAGTGAATCAATTCCATAAAACTCTATTTGTGTTTATTGAACAGGCATGAGCATCATTTCGATTAGCGTCAGAGATATTCATAACGTTGTGAATATATGCACAATCGTCCGCAATATGCTTGTATTTCACACTCTCTATCTCCATTTATCACTCTTTCTCCCTCTCCATAGCGGCCTCTCTATCATTAAATGGTACAAATTATTTGATGAATTTACGGCTTTTACTGTGCCAATTTATCAACCCATGGTAAAAGTCCGAACTCCGAATAGGAAAGTTTTTCTATTTAATAATCAAATCAAAGCGCAAAACGGTAATTTGATTGAGCACGTTGTCCGTTCCTAGTTTGGCTTTGCGCTTAGTCACGGTCAAAGTTGCCAAAAAAAATTGTCGTAAAAGGTTTTTTTTTCTCATTTGGCTTGATTTTTGTGGCTTTTCTTTGTTAATGACATTCCCATTTAACACAATGGACAACGAAACATGGAATTCAAATCCTATTTAAACTAAATTAAAATTTCAATAAGCTATGCCACTCATTCTCCAATTTATGTGAATCTATGTTTGGAATTTGATCATAATTTCATATCCAGTTTGGATTTATATTTTGGCTTCACCATGTGCCGACATCAAAAATAAAATGCCGACAAGCTTGTTAATTCCTTTTAATTAGTTTCGACTCATCAGGGTAATTTGTGAATGCAAAAAGAAGAAATAAAGAAGACCGATGCAAAAAATTTGATAAATCAAGTAGTAGCAGAAAAACCATTTCTACTGCGGCTGATGATTAAGTGCGGAAATATGTTGTGGCATCTAGAAGTTGACTATGCATATTTTATACACAGTAAACACGATTGTTCTAACTTTTAAAACCGCAATATGAAATTTGGCACTAAAATCCATTTAAGTACCATTTGTACTAGAAAAAGTTCAAAATGTACTAAATCACAAATCAAAGCTTCATGTATTTATTATAGAACTTTTGAAATTTTTCTAGATCAAATGGTATTAAAACCAAGTTAAGTGTCAAATCTCAACATCCCTAGAATCATTGTGTTTACTGTGTAGTAACTTTTTACGATATCAAAATTAATCGAGAGATTTAGTTTCGTTTTCGATTTCTTGCTACTTTGAATTATGCAACACTTTGCCCTTTTCGGCCAGAGCCGCACACTGCACGCAGTATACGTTCATAAATGAATGTTTTATATATTCCACAATTATATTTATTTATGCGATATTTATGCAAATGACATAGAAGTTTTCAATCGAACCGCAGTGCCATATCGAAATATTTGGAGAAAAAAATCCATTCGGTGCCGGATTGAACAAGCATTTGAGTAATTATTTATTGGTTGAAAAAAAAAAAACATCACCGCCGCCTTCGTCGTCGTCGTCGTTGTCGTCGTCATCATCATCAAAATTACATATTTGAAGTCTTTCATTTTCGTTCTTTTCAATGTTTATACTTTCAATAGCTGTGTTTTTTGCTCATTTCATTCCGTTTGGTTAGTTGTAAATTTCTTTTAAAATCATTTAAATCATAAAATGTATCAATAAAATTATGAATTCTATCTGTGGAAAAGAGGTGAAAAAAGCGGTCTCCAAAACGGCAGCGAAATAAAGCGAGATGAGAAAAAATGCAAAAATAAAATGAGGGACAAGAAAGGTATCGAATTATTAATAACAAAGGCCATACAAAAACTAATGAAATTCATAAATTTATGCCGCAAAGAAATGAACCGTCCATGTGTTTGGTCGTCAAACTACCTGACCGCTTTATTACAAATAAATAATTGCTACCACCTTTTCTCTATCTCTCTCTTTCTCGCTCTTCATTTGATCATACATTCTTCGGTTACCCATCAAATCCAGTGTGTATGCTATGCTGTAAGAGACTTCGTAGAGATTTGATAAATAGCTAACTAGAGTCGGTAATTTGATAGCTTTTCGACAGGTATCGCCAACGAGAGATAAAATAACACCGCTCATCAACATGAAATGCGCGCCAGAAGTGTGAACTTTGAATCCATTCGTTGTTTTATATCTTTGTATATGTAAAATAACGAAGTTTCTCAGGCAAAGATGCAAGTTGAAATATAATTTTTTTTCTACTTCGAGATTCTCTTTATGTTCGGCTGGCGGGTCTTTGTGTGTAATTAATTACATTTATGGCTACTGGCTTAGCATAGATTTTCTTAATGAAAAATATTTAATTTTACTGCTTTTAATTCAATTCGAATGAATGCTTCTCATTTGCCTGTTTAAATATTTTGTAGTTTTTTTCTTTCTGTATTTCTGAAACCCGCTAGAACAAAACGAAAAAGTCTGATCTCAATGCCTTTCCGAAAAACTGAGACTTTATATATAATAAAAATGGCAATCGGATATGTCTGCATTGCACACAGTTTCGATAATCGAGAAAATAAATATATTATTGAACATGTGTTAGCAGCGTTAGCTCTTTTTATTCGATCGCTGCATGATTACGGCTTATCGCTTTTCATTTTGCATAATAAGTCATAAGTTTAAAATAAATAGGCTTATAAAATATGCGTGTAATCCGTTTCTGTCGTTGATGATGTCGTACCATAAAAAGTCGAGAGCAATCAAACGAGAACACATTGCGGGGAATTTCGTGATGACATTTATTTGAACGGGCAATTTATTAGTTTCTTTATCATATGCAATGTTTCGGCGTTATTTTTATTTTTTCTCTTTCTCTTCATCTCACTCTACCTCGTTCTATCTCTCTCTCTCTCTCTCTCTCTCTCTCTCTCTTCTCAATCCACTTCACTTCACATGTCGAGGAATGAAAACGAGAGGATGGTTTAAAAAAAATGTTTTGAAATTGAGTCACAGTGATTAACAATCAATAAAAATCTTGTTGACTTCAGAACTAACAACATTCTGACTGTTCCACCGCTCTTCCGCTCTATTCAGGTCTTCAATTCGTTTAACATTAGCGTAATGATCAAAAGAGGACATATAAAGAATCACAGTTCAACACGAGTTGAGACACTTTCAAAGGGAACAAAACGAACAAATTAAACATTTAAAACGCTGCTTCAGCTCATAGAGTTCGACAAAACCATTTAATATCAATTCAGACGGGTCTGTTCGTCTTTATTCTCCTTCATTTTCTGTTAGTCGTGGTCATTATTTTGCTTATATGAGCATATTCAAAGGCGCCGATCTGTGTGCGTGTATCTTGGATTTCGGTTCTCCTCTCTCGCTCCCTTTCTCTCTCTTGCTCGTTTATGTGTGTGTATGTGTGTGTGTTTTTGCAATGAAAACTGATTTTCATAAAATTATAATAAATCGTTTTTAAATGTGGCAAGCCGCCCTGAAATGCACATTCTAACGAATTTTTGGCTGGCTCTAAAACGTTGGCTCTCTCACTTTTTGTTCGTTCAACACAGTAGCTCAATTCATTTCGCTTCGATATTCTTGCACACAAACGTATAAAATGAAGGATCAATCAGAGACTTTGTCTTTTGTACGTTCCGATGTAAAGTAGTTCAATTAAGCAGGGAACTCAATGTGTTCTTCTACGAAACTCAGGTGCAACGTGACACCTTGTGCCTAGGAGCACCAAGCAACTATTAATTCATTCAGTCGATCGATTAGACTGAAGTGGGTTTAATCAAAATTAGTCACACTCAATCAATTATGGAAGCCCTGTTTTTGGGTGGAATTTTTAAATTACCCAAACAACAAACAATACTTCAAGCAAATTATTCAAACAAAAGTTTTTCCGTTCAGCTTGGACGGACCATCTGTTTGCGAACTAATCATAATTTTTTAATGTGTTCTGAAATTTTCTATACGCTCATTCAATGATTTTCTTCATCTTTGTAGATCAATCTCACGTCAATCTATTTTCATCGAGACCACAACCAAAGAAAAAACGGAAATCACGCACAGCATTTACCAACAATCAAATATTCGAACTGGAGAAACGTTTCATTTACCAGAAATACCTGTCACCAGCTGATCGGGACGAAATAGCCTCTTCTTTAGGTCTATCAAATGCTCAGGTACGCATCGAATCTGCTTCAATTGGAGTTCATTTCACAAGCAATAATACAACTAATGAGTTTTTCTATTGTTTACAGGTGATAACATGGTTCCAAAATCGGCGTGCAAAATTAAAACGTGACATGGAAGAGCTGAAAAAGGATGTCGAAAGTGCAAAAGTACTAACAGCGCATAAGACTTTTTTAGAAAATGTAAACGACTTAGGCATCTTAAAGAAGAAAGCTATGCATGATACAACAACGGCGATACTGATGCAGTCCGGCAGCCCCGAATGAAAATTACAAGCAAGCAAACAACCGAAGAAATAAACACAATTAGTTCCTAGTACAGATGATATTCATCTTTACGGGAGAAAACAACATATTTGATGCTAACGAATTACAAACTACCCACGATTTATATTGATAAGACCAAAAATGATAAATCTTCCTATAATTTGCCACAATTTTACACTAAACGAGTTTTTGACAAAGTAAAACCAAACGAATAAAGAAGAAATATGATGAAATGGCATGATTTGAAATAAATTGTAATGAAATGAACACTTTTGACAAAAATTGACTTGTGTGTGCGTGTTATTCGTGTATTTAGTGTGTGTTGTAGGTTGTTTAAATAACGATCTCAAAAAGAAAGGAAAATCGGTACATGTGCTTCGTAAGCATGGAGCTCATTTTTCCGCAATTCAGGTTTTGCCATTAGACGATGCCAGTGTCAATGCAGTCAATCAATGACAATAGCCATTCGTATAATTACATTTTCCTTTCAATCCATTTCGGGACATTACCTCAGCCTCTCCTGCAATTACTTATATCATTTTGAAATTCATTTTCAACGTCTCACTTACATAAATGAATCATATATGGACTTTGTTTTCCCATTGAAAATATGAAGATAAAAAAGAACCTTAATAGTACAGCATTTGCTCTTCTCATTTGTTACAACCGAGAGAACATAGAATAAGTTTTAATCGAAGCAAAATCTAATATGTAAATAATTTATGTACTTTCGCTTTTAAGTGCTAAAATTTAAATATGATAAAAAAAAAACTTTCAGAATTTGCTAAACAAGTAAATGAAGTAAAATTATGTAATAAATTAAAATTTTGTAAATATTTATGTATTCTATGTACCATAATGTAACTGTAGTTGTCTGTGTAGTAGTTAGTCTGTACACACACACATTGGGATATTTCAAGGAATTCAAGCAATTTTTTTTTGTAGGAATTTGTGGTCAAAATAACTTCTTCTCTAGCATAACAAACTAATAACATAGGTCTTTCAGTTCATAAATGGTACAAACATTCAATGAATGGGATGCTACTGTAGATTTGTTCTATGCTGTGTGTATTTTGATACTAATTGAAGAAGAATCAAACCAACTCTTAACACAAATCTGACCTTTTTGTCAGAAATGGAAGCAAAAACCTATGTATGGATCTACATTATATAATAACCCATTTCTATGGGTGAGATTGAGAGTGGAGTATGTTTTTTCTTCGACATACACTACTCTCAATCTCACCCATAGATTTATTGATGATACTTACTAAATAATTTAAATTTGTGATTTTTGAAACATGCAAACGAGTTTCTTGTCTCTTTCAACGTTAAAACCATAAAAATTCAAATTGTAAACGAAAAGAAACTAACCAGTGATCGAGTAGACAGAGAAAATGTTATTGTAGAATTGGAATAACAGTCAAAAATAGTATTTTTCGTTTGATTCCTCCAAAACAATTCAATCCATCTTTAAACAAATAAATTTAAATGTTTTTGACTATACAAATTGAATCATTTCACTTCAATATGAATTGAACATTGAATAAGTTAATAATGTGTAAGAAACATAATATTTTTGATGATGTAAAATTTCCTTTTTAGTACAGAGAAACAATGAACATTAAAAAAAAAATGCAACAAATCCTAGCACATAATGAATCATTGAAATAAAATTCTATATCGTTTAGTGTCCAAACTTCAAATTACAACTCTTATTTTATGAATTTGGTTGCCAACAAATTCAGTAGATCATATATTTATGCAAAAGGAAATTTAATTTTCTTCGATATATATAGAATTCACCTTAGTCGTGGATTTTTTTTAAATTTGTGACCAGACAATTTACATTTCATAGTGTTTACACTTTATAAATTTATTTCAATGGAGTGAGTCCTCATGCCCTCATATTTTCATCAAAATTTAACAATTGATTGATTGATACATATGACAAAATATGACTAATTCGTAGTTTGGGTAAATTATGATGCATGCACCATGCATACTTGTTGGCCTTGTTGTCACAAAAATCAGCAACACAAACAGAATTCAGTATATTTGCAACAGAATCAGAAACAAGTACTTTTGACTTATTTTAGTTTCTGTTGCAAATGTACTTCAGTACAGTAAATTCCGTTTCTTTTTTTGCTTCTGTTTCTGTTCTTTGTGACAACAAGGCTTTACAAGAAAAAGAACATTCATTCTTCAATTAATTAATAATATTACTCAATGAAGCAGCGGACTTGTCGTCACACGCGTACACATAACCTCTAAATTTTATCGCAAACCGGAATAAACCATATAACCACAACCAATGGTGCTGACATCTACTTTTGCGATGAATTCTATCGCATTTGTATATGCCAATGCCTTTAAATGTATTGTTTATCCCGATTTGTCATAAATTCTTTTTGTGTGTGTAGATGTAGCATTTCACTTGATTTAGCGATTCGTCAGTTGCCGAAACATCGTCTATGCAGTCCACTCGATATATCACGTGAAATCCTAATAGTCGATTAGCCGAATAACTTTTGGCCACTACGATGAAGTACAACGTTATATCTAACGTGAATTGCTAACGCGCGGTGCTGCAAACGAAATCATACTTCAACTTATCGAATATTAGGATTGACGACAAGTCCGCTGCCTCAATTGAGTAGTGAATGAATTCGCATTGAATATTATTGACACATTTTGAAATGGAAATTTAAATAAAATGCAATCTAAAAACATACAAATGTGTTGTTATTTTCGTTGAATTCTATAGACTAGACCAAAATTGACGAAAAGCATGTGTGAACAAAGTAGGTATTATATAATCTTCATCTTTGTCGGGAATAAGCAAAAATTGATTTCAATTATTTATTCTTAATGAATTTTGCATTGGAAAATTTAAATAAATCGCTACGTGAAGAAATTGTATAAAAAATTGTGAAAATAGAAATGCACAAGAAATAGCGGTAGAACCAGTGATTTAAATAGTCGACAGTTCTACCGGAAACCGGTAGTTCTAAAATGAAAAATGCAGCACTTAATTCGAATTCCGGTAGTCGATATTTGAATGATTTCTATTCTTTTGCTCAATTTCTAAGTTTACAAAATAAATTAATTTTATTTTATTTTATTTTTATTAAACACCGCCAAGCTCTGGCTGAATATAATGTGGGTTTTGTTAGAGGTTTGGCCGGAAAAGAGTGCAAGACTGTTACAATTTTTATAGATAATGAACAATAGTAGCAGTAACTTTCGATAAATTTCAGTTCTCGCCTCGTTAAAAACCTGGCTCTTTTCGTAAATTATGAGGAAATCACAATAGTAGGAACATGAAAACGAAAGCAGTCATACAACCAAGATGGAAATACTTATAGTAGTCTATAGTAAACGGTCCAGGATAACCTTTGGTAAACGTTTCCAACGGGAAAAAGGCTATGTGAAGCGTTAACTGTTACGCGTTAAATTTAAGACTTTGAGACTGCAAAAGTCGTCACTCAATTTATCCGATAGATAAATTGATGAGAAGTTTTACGTCGGTTAAGGCCGATCCATGTTGATTGCAGAGTGCATTGAGTTGACATGGACCATGATTTGAAACGTAACTAGATCATTTGATGCTAAATGGTAATAATGCAAAATTGACTTCAAAGTTAAGAATATTAACTCGCCAAATCTTGGATGGCCACAACAAAGCACAAAATAAAAATAAAAATTTACAATAAATAAATAAATGTAAACATCACAGATAAGATCATCTTTTCAATACACATAAAAGAATGTTTGGAAAATTTCGTCAGTCTTCTAATATTGATTTTGCTGTGTGAGATGAGTTGAATTCCACTTGGGTGGTTGGAACCTGGGAGAGCCTCGCTCATATTTGTTGTAATCAGAAGCAACCCAAGTGGCACCCGGGCGTTGTCCTTGATGAATTCGTCCGCTTGGGATCATGGATCGGGTTTAACGGCAACATGAAAATCGTAATTCCGATTAGTGAGGGTAGTATCTACGTGTTCTCGTAGAGAACATATACAAAAAAAATGAGGTTACCTGGATGAAAAATTGACTAGGCGGCCAGGCAGTCATTTGAGTTTGCAAAGCGATCCAAAAGTGGTGTCCGTCATTTTGCGAACCGATGATGCAAAATTCGTCTTTGCTGCTGTGAACAGTTTCGGCACCATGTTCGCCATTTTGCACATTTGAGGAACTGGATCCTCGCGCACCAACTTCGTGTGTTTGTCATTGACCTTGAATTGTTCACTGTGCCTCAACGAACGGCCTTGATGGAATGAGACTTGGTCTCTAACTGTTGGACAGTTAGCATTACCGTTGATGATGTCGTAAAACAAAGTCAATGCCGCGTTGACACGTCGACGGCGAAGACTAATCATGTTCAAGTCTGACAATCGCTGCTCGTACGGTGTGATTGAGTATTGGTTATGCACGGATGGGTATGGTTCTCGACGAGCGTACATAGTGAATTGGCGTTGCACGGATTCAATTTTGTCACTGTGGATTTTGTGGAATGGAAGCCATACCATGGCGCAGTAATCGAGGTGAGATTGAACCAATGCAAAATACAGCGATTTTAGTGTGGTTACGTCGGTGATATCGTGACAGAAGCGTTTGACAAAGCCAAGTGCAGCCGTTGCCTTTGAAGTGACCATGTCAATATGTTTGGCAAATGATAGTTTTCTGTCAATTAGGACACCCAAGTCCTTGTGTTCAGTCACTTTGTCGAAGGTATGGTCGCCATAAGTGTAGCTTGTATCCAAATGCTGACGTTTCTTGTATAGATAGCACTGCACATTTTTTGAGGTTAAGGTGCAGCAGATTCACGTCACACCAATGTTTAAGTTTGTCGATGGCTTGTTGTAGCATCTCCGAATCTTGCTGAGACTTGATGATTTTGGCTATTTTGATATCATCAGCAAACAGTAATATCATGATGTCTGGGGGCATTTGATCCACGATGTCGTTGATAAATAGCAGGAATAGTGTTGGACCAAGGTGGCTCCCCTGCGGGACTCCCGACGACGCTGTAAAATCATTCGACTCACTTGCTCCATGCTTGACAAATTGAATGCGATTTTCGAGGTACGACTTAAGCCATTTCAGCAAGTTTTGAGGTAGATTGAATGTTTTCAACTTCTGGATCAAAATGCTGTGATCGACTCTATCAAAGGCTTTCGTAAAGTCCGTGTACAGGACATCAACTTGAG